AGAGAGAGAGAGAGAGAGAGAGAGAGAGAGAGAGAGAGAGAGAGAGAGAGAGAAAGATTCCACAATGGGAGGAATTTAATTCTGAGCAAAGACTTTAAGGCTGGAGTACTTGAGAAATTCCCATAGTAATCGAGAATGATGACTACAAGAGTTAAGGAATCACACACCTGATCGAAGGCCAACAGGGCCAGGTCAGAGAAGACAGACAGTATCACATGGTAGACAAAGACAGTTCCTTTCAGAGCCAGGAGCTGAATTCCTTAAAAACCAGAGGAGTTCCACTGGCTTGGTATGGCAGTGGAGCGCAGGTCTCCATGAAGGAACGGATGCTCTAACATCACACATCCATTAAGGTGTGAATATAAAGCGTGGCAAGTCCTGAGTCTCAGAAAGCAGTCTGACACGTTCTTCTCGGATTCCATGGGCTGTGCTGGAACTCTCCATGTCGCACTCATTCTAGTGTATGTGTGAATCAAATATAACCCTTCACATTTTTTTCTGGTGAGGTATTAAAGTTAAAAATAGTCCACAGAGGCGATGAAGCCATGCCATCCCTGAAGTGGCCTATCTTCTGCCTGTACCAAGCATGATTTTTACTATAAAAAACCCATCTCTTCCTCAAAAGAGTTCACTGACGTTGTCATCCTACCAGCAGCCCCACTGGGCTCTGGTGAGTGACATCCAGACATTTAAACTCAAAAGCTCCTTCAGAAGGGAGTTATTAAAATTCAAATGTGCTGGGCATATTGAAGAAGAAAGCGCTCCTTTGCATGCACACCTCTGCGTTTGGCCATCCTATTCAGTCCCACAGAGCAGGGTCTCGTTTTGTTTTTGTAAATGGGCTTTGGAGGCGGAGGTCAGCCTCCCACGGCCCCCACTCCTCTGGGGTCATCATTAGTAATGTGTGGGCTGAATAGATTTTCCTCTGAATCCAGTCAGCAAACCTGACAGGAAGACAGCCCTCTCCCACAACCTGAAAATGCCAAAAATCTGACTGGTAAGACGGCGGTCTGAAACACGCCAGCAGTCTGCTCTACAGCGGCTTCCAGCGAGGCTGCACACCACGGCTGCTCAGGTCCACCTGAGCTGCTAGGCTCCGAACAGAGTCCTGCCTGTGAGCCAGGACTGCAGAGCCACAGACCTGCCACAGTGAACCAAGAAGCCCCAGAAGATTCGGAGAAAATTCATTCTGCCAAGAAATATGGATCTGGGAGGCCGAAATAATATGTTATTTTGCTAGAAGAGAAAAAAAAAATTCTGAAGACTTTGACTTCAGAGTTTTTACTTCATGTCTCATGACAATCTCTCACATTATAATCGTTTTTAAATTTTATAAGCTAATGATGAACAATTTAATAAAACTGTAATAAAAATATATGGTGCCAATATTATTCTGGGTTTGGAAAATTCTGATGAGCATTTAGTAAGAATTCAACTTCTTCCTAATGAAGACATCTCTATTATATCTAGTTTAAGAAGACATAATCCATAGCAATATAATCATTAAACTAATTTGCATATTATATGCAACAGTGTATATAGAACAATGATATAATCATATATCAATTTTTATATGGAAAAAAATTAGGAGCAAACAGTGCTAACTCACAACCCTAAAATAAGAGCATGCATCCTAAACTCTAGAGACTAAAGGGGCCAGGCTATAAAAATAGTCCCGAGATTGCTGTTCCCAGTGGGACATCAAGCAACAATACTTCCTCTTCCAATGGACACATTCTATCTTTCCATGAACTTTATTTATCAAATTGCTCCTTCCAGATTTCTCGCAGTTTTCCATTTTAATTCACTTAAAAACATTTTTTTTTTCCTTTTTACAATTGGAATGGCCTTGCTATCATATAGTCACTGATTTGCCCAGTCAGGAAAGCGTGAAAGTAGTGAACCTCACTGAAAGATGATTATGTTAACGGAACTGGCATGAGCCAGGACACACACAGTGCTGGCAGCATACACTTCTTCCTCACAACTCTGAGCAGTGGACGTCATTAAAGAGCTCCTCCTTCAGCAACCCTCGTGGCACTGCTCTGGTTCTGGTCACCCAAAGGCACTGAACCACTATCTTCTAGCATGGAGGGCCACGACCCAGGAGCACGGCAGGATGAATGTGTTCCGAGAACAAACACAAGCCAGGAACGGGAGCGAGAGCCTGTGACTGTAGCAACACAGAATGATCAGACAAGGCCAGGGACAAGGGCTACTTCCCAGTGGGCCTGGGATGCAGAGGTCACCTGGATGTGTTTTCTCTATCCATACCACAGTCACTGAAACGGACAGAAAAAGCAATGTGTACCTTGTGCACCTCTACATGTCTACATGGCAGACACAGTTTTCACAGAGCCACCCACAATGAGAGTGCACAGTTTGCATATTTACAGAGCGGCTCTTTAGTTCTCTAGTCATCTAGGAAGATGGTTTAGCAGAAGACAACATTCACCCCTTCAGACTTGATTTGTTTGATTTTACAGAGGCGTGCTTCAGGCACATACTTACAGAACATGAAGAGAGAATGATAAAAATCCAAGATTTGTGCTCACTTGCCTTTTTTCCCTCCTGTAACGAAGAAGCCAATGGCTGCTCTAAGAAAACTGCCTTCAGGCAAATAGCTGTAGTCAGTAGGAACTGTGGAAGCAGAAAATGATCAAATTAGCTAGTGAACATGGCAAGGCTAATGAAGGAGAGGTAATGATCTCATGCTGCCGTATCAACCCAGAGACAAGGCAGAGATGTTTATGCCATTATTCTCAGCACAGTACTCTGTAGCTGCAGCTAATTCTATTAGATTAAATGATGGCTTGGAGGGAATCGCTTAGGCTCTACAGGAAAATCTAAAATGGTGACAAACCTAGGAGAGACTTAAAAAGAAAAGCTCCCTCCCTTGCACACTATCGTATCGATGAGCTCCAATGCAATGGCCTCCTCAGGGTAGGCAAGGGGCCTGTTGGGCTTCTGAACTTAGGCACTGTCCTAGAGGCCTTGTTAGGATGGTGCGTCAACTGTATGAACCAAGGAAAATAAAAAACCAGGATTAACAGCACCATCTCTTACTCAAGGTAGAGACCTTTAAGTGATCAACATGTACAAAGAACCAGATGTGGCTGCTGACCTGAACCAGTGAGCCAGTGACATGTCTGCTAGCTGAGTCCTGAGAGTCCCCTAAATCCTTTTCCTCCCAGTCCTCCATAATTGTTTCATGAGACAGTTTTGCTGCCATCAATGGCTCAACTGGAAAACTCCCCTAGGAATGAGTAGCTGTGTTTTCCAGACACACAATTATTCTGTTCCTAAGAACATGGGTGTAAGCTGACTCACTATTACCTGATTTGAGGACATTGACTAAGTGTTCTGTAATACAACTGTAAGTCTGAACACACACACACACACACACAGATACACACACACACACACACACACACACACACACACACACACACACACACACACACACACACACAGCCTGGCGTAATGTGTTATTTACCAGGATACTGGAAGAGCCTGGACCTTCAAGCCTAGCACTAGCAAAGGTTTCTTACATCACTAAAGTGCTTTTAAATTCCCTTCCTATGTTAATACGACAACTTCCAGATGTCTACGGTTCATCATGTTGGGAAGGATGTGAACCAACGTCCTCTGTCGGAAGCTGCAGAGTGACTGCAGCGAGGGAAACAGAAACCATAGAAGCCCACATTCTTCGTTATGCCATCAGATGACCCGCTGGGAATACGTGAAACTGTTTCAGTGAGAAATCTTCAGTCTCTAAATCTCTGCGGACCAGGCGCAAGATGGCCAGTGAGTCAAAATACCGTTCATAAGGAGCAAGGGACAGATATATTTCGGTGGTTCTTTCTCCAGGAAATCTCCAAGTACAAACATAAATTAAGCACATGGGAATTGTAATATATTTATTGCTTTTATCAAAAGATACAAATAGAAAGGACTTTGTTATTTGAAGAGGTAGGATTCCAAACCCTATGGAGGCACACATCTTTGAATGTGTTTTGCTCATTACCTTTATAAAGTCATTGGGCAGAAAAATCCCAGGCATAAATGAAGAGACAGGGTTTGGTTTTTTGTATTTTTTGTTTTTTGTTTTTGTTTTTTGCTTTTGAGAAAAAGTCTCACTGTGTAGCTCTCTATAAAGAGATTTTTAATGAAACATAACACCATTACTTTTAGTAAAAATAAGATGTCTGTTCCAAGCTTCAAGGACCTGATTCTTTGTTTATGGACTTGTCACTAAACAAACTCTTAATGTAACTCATATAATATCTCTAAGCCTATTATTTTTCATTTGTAAAATATAGGTACTTGACTGAACGTCTACACTATCCTCTAAGGGAGGCAAGAGAGGAAGTGTGAATGAATATGGGGTTTGGAGGCCAATAAATCTAAATCCAAAGCACCGCTTTCTGTCATGTGATCCAGAGTACGTCTGGAAGCTCTCTATACTCCATTGCTCACATATAAAATAAAGATCATAACATCCATCCCATCGTGTAGAATTGTTGTGATGTCCAAACCCTTTAGCAAAGTGCAGGGCCTGAGTCAGCCATCCCTTCTTCCAACTCCAGGATATTAGGACTCGAATCTTACCAGAAGTTCTGCTTTGATTTGAAGACAAGGTAGATAGATGAAGATGACCTAGAAGCCATATTGCATTTGATTGAAGACCAATCACCCCCGAGACATTGATGACCTGTTGGTGAAAACAGCAGTTTGGTGATGGGGCAAAATCCAAGCTCTATTCAATAAAAGGCCACCATAGAGTCTCATTAACCTTGTAGGAGCTAGAGGCTTAGTTGAGAACAAGAAGTTCTATAACAGAATGCTAACATGAGTCTCCTACACTAGACCTGACTCTCATTTTAGCTGATGAGTATTTGATGAATGAATGAATGAATGAATGAATGAATGAATGAATGAATGAATCAACCAACCAATTATGGCAGAAAGTACAAGCAATATTCTCAGGCTTCATTGAGCAAGACTGTTCCCAAAAACTGGTAGAAGAAAGCTCAAAAAGGGTCTGGGGCTAGAGCATAGTTGGTAGAGAATTTGCCTAGTGTGCCAAAGGCCAGGGGGTTCAGCTTCAGTACTCATATGCCAAGTGTGGTGGCTCATGCCTGTAATCCCAGCACTTGGGAGCATCAGGAATTAAGTAAGAGTCACCCTTAGCTACACAGTTTGAGGCCTGCCTAGAACACATGAGATCCTGTCTTAAAAGAAAAGAATTCAAAAAGTAGAAAGAAAGGGAAAGTTACTTCATTATAAAGTATCTCTAAAGATAGAAATTTTAACTCATTATATTCTTTAGGTAATTTCTACCATGATTATTATAATTCATGAACATTTTAAAATAATTGTTTCCAATTCTCCCAAGTTTTAACAACTTAAATTTCAGTAGAATTCTTTTTCTGAGCACATTCTTATTCATATATGTAAAATACTTTTTCTCCGCTCAGAAATTCATGCTTTTCCACCATGAATTACTAAAACATCTTTATGTGCTAAGTATTATAATTAGTCATGTTTTATAAGAATGAAAACAAGTATGCTAAGTGGGGAAAAAATAAGCTAGAAAGCACCAGGTATAGTAAGAATACCAATCACAAAAACCCAGCTTGGACGTGAAGCTTAGGAAGAGGCAGGACCGTGCACTCAGGCCTGCTGTAACACTGCTTCACCTTTTTTCAACCTGTACTTTCACAGTTTATTCAGCAGACATAATGTTTTAAAAATAAAGATCCTAACAGACAAAGCCTTGAAAGCGGATGAACATGATTATGCCTCAGCAAGAGTAATGATGACGATTATTTCCTCACAAAACCTCATCTGAACCCATGCCATTTGACCATTCTTCCCTGGGGTCTGCCCTGCCCTTTGGCCACCTACTATTTGTCCTTGGCCCAAAAGCCAGATAACCCTTGCAAGGTCAGGTTTAATTTTTAAGGTGAATCAATAACAAGTTAACCCAAAAAAGCCAGTATTCTTTTTTTTTCCAGGAGCAGGGCATATTTGTCAATGAACACAGGCCCATACACTACTTCAAAACACCCCATGAACTCAACATGAATGTTAGATTTTCACATTTGCCAGGTAAGACACACCATGACAAGCAGTATGAAAGATAACAAAGGGGAAGATGTGCGTCCCATGCAGGGACTGAAAATTCCTCTGCTTACCTCAGTTAAGGTTCTAATGACTTCATTAAGTCTTGCTTGAAAATGGGCGTTCTGGATGGCTTCTGACTTTAGCTGAAAGAGTGAGCAGAAATGACCCAGGGCATGAGCAGTCATCTCGGAATGGGATCATTTATCAGCTCTCAGTATATTTCAAGCACATAAGTGGTAAGCTCCTCAAAGGCATGGCCCAGGATTCATTTACCCTTGATTTCTTAGCATGTTTTCATGGTGGCACATAGCGGTCCCTCAAAAGTTTTACTATATGAACAAAGGTATACAATTCAGAACTGTGATAAACTCTCACACACTTATGTCCACTGGGATAATGTTTCAGAACAAAACACTTGCAAAGATTTAAACTTGAACATTAGAGATGTGAACTGTAATTCATGATGAATGAATTTTGAATTTCTTATGTTCAGTCACTTTCTCAGGCAGGAAAGTCTATGGACAGTCCCCACCTAAAGAGGTTTGATTCCTATAAATTAAACCAAACAAGGAACAAATCTCTACAGAAAGAATTCTCAGCCAAGAGTCCTTTTTCAGAGCAAGGCACTGAAAGCCCAGAGTACTATTACCATGACTACATATTCCTCTTGCCCTAGGCTAGGAAGCTAATGCCACTCTAATATTGCTATGGCTGTGTACTCATTCAGTTCCTTCCCCTCAGAGTTCCTGGCTTTACCTGCATAGCATCCACATCCGATCCTACTAATGCCACCAGACCGTGAAGGGCTGCCAGACAGAGCATGGTGGAGGCACCCTGCAAACCAAGAATCAGAACAGTCAACAGCAAAATACTCCTTGGCTTTGAAACCTACACACGTTACTGTTGCACAGCGAGGCCAATGGCTGAAATTATAACACATCCATAGGATCAACACAAAACTGATACTTGACCCCCAAATAACAACAGACTAAAATAAAGGAACACATTAAGGCTGTTAAATCACAGGTGGCTTCTTATTGTTTCTATTTGCCCAGAAAACCCTAACATTGTTTTAAAAGTTAAAGCACTATCAGGTAGTCAGCTTTTAAAAAATAAGACAACCTGTAATGGTTGACAGATTGCACTATTTATAAGAGATTAAAGGCATACATGTCTCTTTCACTTGAAATTACTTGTTCATTTATTGTTAAACTATATCTTAGCAGTTCCTATAAAGAATCCAATAAATCAGTTCTTTTTCCTTTATATAAATATATAATAGCATACAGGTGATGACTTTTTACCTCTGTCAGAACAACTCTAATCCAGTTGGGGAGGAGTCTGTTACCCAGGTCTTCAGCTTTTCCATGTCCACACACAGACAAACCATGAACCAGATTCCCTAATGCCAGTGCAAAGCCTGAAGTCTGGTACAAATAAAAATAGGAGTGAGGGGGGAAAAGCTATAAATAAGGACTCATATAGAACATTTATCATACACAAAGCAAAACAAGCATTACAAGGGTTCCTATCCCTAAGTTTGATGTGGACTTTTACAACAGAGTCTTACTGTAAGGAATTTTGCTGCTGTGGGTAGTTTATCTAAGGAGAATAATTTTGTACCATCAATTGATAGCTCAATCAATCTAAAGTATGGGTGAAAAGCCTGAGGTTCACCACCCATGGTCAAAATCCACCTCCTAAGCAAGAAAACATTCCATGGCAAATGCAGTGTATGAACACTTCTGAGTTTGTTATTGCAAAGCATATTCTGAACACGTAATCACTGAATCACAAAACAGTAACGATGTTACAAAGGCCAGGACTAAAACATGGAGAAATTTTTCCAAAAAAGTCAGGCTGGTGGAGTCTATGCATGTGCAATTAGAATTCTTTCTCATTGTCTTAAACATGGATAGCAGTTTACTGGCATCAAGTACATCCACAGTTGTATGACAATCTTCAAAACTATTTTCATCTTGAAAAATAAAATCTCTGCTAGTAAACCTTCCCACACCCTACACTAGGGGCAACTGCCAATCTACTTCCTGTCTCTGTGATCTTACTCTAAGGAGACACTCTAACTATCTCACACAAGCAGAACTGGGCAGCAGTTTCTTGTGATTAGCTCATCTCTCTAAGCATTATATACTTAAGATTCATCCAGGTCACAGCACATGTCAGAACTTCCTTTTTAAAGACTGGATAGTATTTAAGAGCAAGCATTTTAAGCATAATGTTTAAGTATTTGAGCTTCCCTGTATGTACTCAGTTATGAATGAAGATTATCTGTCTGGAAGTTTGACTTAATCAGAGTTCTATAAGCATTCATAACTTGATGAGTTTTTGTCGTTATCTTCTCTATCTGCTACACATTTAAATTCCTTTCCCCTCAACACAGTCCCTTGCTTTTCCTGCATTTCATTCTAGCCATGTTTTAAGATTTTATGAATATAGAGTAATGATTTGAGAAAGAGAAATTAAAACATTATGAAGCTGGGCACATTGAATCTTCAATTCCAGCACTGGGAAGGCAAAGGCAAGTATATCTCTATGAGTTTGAGGCCAGCCTGATCTACATACTGAGTTCTAGTTCAGCCAGAGCTAGACCCTGTCTCAACATCTAAACCCAATCTTTACATTCTCAGACAAATGTCCACAGAAGCTGGGAGATAAAAGATGAGAAAGGCATCTGGTGGCCGGTGGCTGCTGGCTACGATGGTGACAGCAAAGAGTTTCCAGACTTTCCCCAGTTCTAGATACAACAGAATCCACCCCAGTCTGAGTAATTAGAAGACAGCATGCAACAGCAACATGAAACTCAAGGAGAAAAATCATCAGGGCACATGTTCCAACCTGCTGGTTGTTCTCTACCAACAGCTGAAGCTTGTTCATAATGTCTTCAGCCTCCACAGCCTCGATAATGCCAGCACTGAACGCTGATGTACACACACAGCTAAGTGTGTAGGCCAGGACCTAAGAAGAAAACACAGCCGAAAAAATGTTTGCTCACAGGCAAAATCAAAGACCTTGGCTTAGGTGCTATAGCTCATCTGTCCAATTCCCCAGAAGGACTGAATTTAGATACAGATACCCCAGATTGGGTACCAGTTCGCTGTCTGGTTTAGGATCAAGATGGGGATCATCTTAAACAGGATTTGGAGGCTCAAATGCAAATAGTTACGAGACAAAACCCAGATTCAAATGTGGGTCTCCAGCCTCTAAACCACAGTTGCCTCACAGCCCGATGCCCCCACACAGCAAGGTCAACAACATCAGGAAGTAGATCTTTACCAGCTAAAAAGTGCCAGACTCACAGGACATCATGGTAAAGATGTGAACACAGCTGTTTCCGTTCCCTCGGAGGGGCTGAGAGCACGCTGAACAGGAGTGTAGGCCTGGGAGCTGGCTAAGCTGTGTGCCACTGAGGGTTTTGTTTTTTACAGTTGTCATTGCACAAGTGTGAAAACGTAGTCAGGAAATGAATGAGTACAGGAACAAATAAGTAAATAAAATCTGATAATGGGAGCAGAGATAATACTTGGGAGTCTTCTAAACTTACATCTGCAGGGTCAGTAAGTTCGAGGAAGTCAGTTTCTGCAAACCTCTTCCCGCTACCTTCCATGTTGACCATAAAACCCTTTCTTCTAATGCTATTCAGATTAGGAAGAAAGTTCAACTCCCAGTGCTGGCTGATGTATAAAATTACAAGCAGCAGCGCCTTTAATCCCAGCACTTGGGAGGCAGAGGCAGGGGGATCTCTGTGAGTTCGAAGCCAGCCTGGTCTACAGAGTGAGTTCCAGGACAAGCTCCAAAGCTACACAGAAAAACCCTGTCTCGAAAAATGAATGAATGAATGAATGAATGAATGAATGAATAAATAAATAAATAAATAAATAAATAAATAAATAAATAAATATATAAATAAATAAATGCGCCTTCCAAGTAAGAAGCCAGTTAGAAAACATCTGAGGAGGGGCAAAAATACTTTCTGAAGGACTTATGAATCCAAACATCACTGCAGACAAAAGCATCTGTTATAATAACCTTGTCTTCTTGGTTAATCAAATGGTTCTTTCTTCTTTCACACACACACACACACATACACACACACACACACACACACACACAATATTTGTAATAATACACATACACACATATTCGTAATTCATGCTACTTTAAAAATAGAAATGCAGGGCATACCTAGAACAAAACTTCAGTCCTCTGTGCTACAAAGAAATTCCCCAACAACAAGGCCCACTGCTGAAAGCACAGGAGCTGAGCGAGGAAACACAACAGGCATTCTGTACCCATCAATAGCTGTGGGCAGGCTGGGAGAAAAGAGAATCTGCTCTAATGAGAGGGAGAATGTGGCCCGGCCAGGAGGTCACCCCTGCCCCTCCCCAAGGCGGGAGTAGGCAGTTCAGCTTTACCTGGGTACAACAGAGAAGACATGACACATGCCTAAAGCACCCCAGCTAAACATGGGTCACACATGTCCATGGTGTCATACCAACTCTTTGCATACTCTTCTGTCATATCAGAATGGGAAAAAAGTTCTTACCAAATATGGTAAAGGGAATTTCCTCAATAATTTTTCATACTAGTGGGCACTTATTTGTGGTTTCTTAAGCTTGTTTCTGGCTTGTTTTGAAAAGTCACATTTCACTTGAGGACAATTCTGAAAACCCTCGATTTAACCTCCAGAAGCTGCAGTTCTCGGGAAGTGCTGATAGGGATGCTGCCTGGGGCTTCTGTATTCTCTAACAGTTCTTATCTCCTACTCCACATTTAAGTCTAAGTGCAACGTGGAGGCCTCATGACATAACTTAGGTGGCTCGCCACTCAGGTTTTCTCCTTATTTGCAGCTGTAACCGAAAGTTTCAGTTAGAGGGCTACAAAACCTTGAGGCGAAGAGAGCAGAAGACAGCAGAGCAAGGCCAAATGGACCCACGTCCTACCTCCTGGAATGTCCTGCTCTGGCTCCCACTGTCATCTAGGTAGGCAGACAGCTTCCGCAGAGACGCTGCCACATGAACTCGTGACTCCGTGTGGCTGCTGTGGCTCATGAGGGACAGGGCAAGTCCAACTCCCAACACACAGCCGGTGCTTGGATGCCAAAAGAGACAGTGTCAGAATCACACACAACATGGCTGCTCCACACTCACACAGGAGCTCCTGGTGTTCTGAAGCTGAAGTGAGGTTCCACTTCTGCCTGCTTCAAAGTGCACTGTGACTTCGGACACGTACCCCTGACCTCTTTTCTCAAAATGAAGAGTTTATAGCAAAACAAATGTGCAGCAGGGTTGGGGCTGTAGCTCATCAGTAATGCACCTGACTTACAGGCCTATGGCTCTAGTTTCAATCCCCAGCAGAGGCTTAAAAAGAAGACACACACACACACACACACACACACACACACACACACACACACACACACAGAGACAGAGAGAAATAGAGACAGAGAGACAGAAACAGAGACAGAGACAGAGAGATCCTCCCTCTACACACACCCTAGCACCATCAGCACCACCAACCAAACATCAGCTATCCCACTGGACAGAAACAGAAAACACCGAGCTTGACTTAAACTGGTGAGAAACAGCTCTATTTCGGCCCTCACAGAAATGCCACGATCCTTCCCTCTGGCTTCTGCTCTTACACTATGGTTTATCTGCACAAGCAGAGATGAGCTAAATTCCAAGGTGGGCACTGAGGAGCTGTGGTTCTGGATGGGAGCAGGGCAAGGCGCAGTGGTGCTGAGGGCTTGTGTTTCCCAGTCAACTCCAACAACTGGAATCTCTTTCTTAAAGAAACTGTGTATTCATCAGTGCACAATGACTTTAATCCTTCTTTCCCCTCTGATCTCCCAGAGTACCACTGGGTCAGAAGGGAAAATGGACAAATGACAGGCTTGTCAAAAGTTACCCCTTGTGACAATTCAATTGGAATCTGGGGCTTTGTGTCCCAATCCGCTGAAAGGTCACACACCATTTAAAGAACTGTTATCAAGAAACTTCAAGTTAGCATACCACAGTGCATCTGTGGCCATATTTTCCTTTGTAAAGTGTTTCTCATTTCTGTTGCTTTTTAACTGGAGGTAATGCTGAGTATTTCAGAAAACATGCTGGTGCTGATTGGACACCCCTCTCGTCATGATATACACAGCTGAAGCAGGCATTCCAGCCAGGGCTTTTCTCCCATATCCATATGGAAAGCAATTTTTCTCTTACATGACGTCTATGTCCTTGGCTGGCATCAAGAAACCTTCCTATGAACACTCAAGTAAGACACCCCACATAACTCTGTGTGAACAGTGTCCACACCTGAGAGCAGATACCCGGAGGAAGAGATGGGCTTAGAGATGTGCTCAAGATCACACAGGAGGGAGGCTTTCAGAAGAGCGCAACCAGAAAGAGGGGACTTCAGTCCCCAGCCCTGGGTTCCATCTGCTGTGCCCAAGGCCTTCTCAGGCCCTGCATGATGGCCAGAAGACAACGAAGTGCTTTTCTGGTTTCTGTTGCGTAAGGAGCAGCACAGGGAGTCCTGGGTGGAGACGCGAACTCAGCCCACATCCTTCAGACAGCTGCTGTCCAGAGCACGGCGGCCTAACAAGTGCAACGGCTAATGTGCTCCCCAGCAGCCAGAACCAGCACCCAGCAGCCCGGCACCCCAGGACTGGACGCTTTCAGGCCAGTCACATCTCCTGAGAAAGGTTACTCTTGATTAGGATGGATTTCAAGCCTTTGTTTTAACTAGGAATGTAAGGGGAAGGCTTTTAGCTATCTTCCCATACTGACACACGTAAAACTGAGAAAGATTTAGACAAAGGTATAACTAGAAACAATTTGATTCATATTTTGACAAATTTGACTATGGCTCTCCCTTTGACAACTTATTATTATTAATTATTAGTAGTCATTGCTACTTATCCTTCAGATTTCAAATGGTTCTTCCTTGGGACCCCATCCCAAGACCAGCAGGGAATCTCTTAAAAACTCTCCCATAGCCCTTATATTAGGTTATATCCAATAATTTTAGTTAAAAATTATGAAGAAAGACTATTTGGGGGATTATTTATTCTCTAATTTCAAAGTTTTATGATGGTGGATATCTTTTTTATTTTCCCTCAATACAGTATCTTCAGCCCACGGTCTTCACAGATGCATGGCAGCACGAATCCAGAACTTGCTGGATGCTAAAGAACCAGCCAACCGAGATTTATGAGTGTTGGGTGTACAGAATACCTACAGAAAAAAAGGGAACACACATGCACACGTGCACAGTTCCTGATGCCTCTGTTCAGCTGGAAGCAAACGGAACGTATTATATAAGATTCAATCAGGAAAACTCAATTTCTGTTTCTTGCCAAACTAGGTGAAGAAAGACGGATATTGTATTTGTATGGACAGATTATTTCTCTCAAAGCTCAAATAAAAATTGGGGTTTATTGTTTTCAATGAACAAGCAATTTTGTAGAGTCTGCTTATCAAGGTGTTCTGGGCTGAAGTTCTCCTACAGCACCTCAAGGGACATGTGAATTCCCAGGCCCGAGTTCTAAGGCACTGTTACAAGTCTTTTCAGGACTGCAATGTTAACTGCCTGTCATATCATATGAATATATAATCTAACCCTGTGTGTACATGTCGATATACATATGCTCAATATTCATAATAAGGGTATCTTAATAAGTTAGATACCCTCAGCCTATATCTTGAGTTTTAGCCTTTCTCTTATGATTTAAATAACCCATTGACCTTTTAAAAGGTTTCCATGTTTACCCCCCAATTTTTAGCATGTACCTAGAAAATATTCCCAAAGCTTTATTCCTTTCATTTCAAATCTTCTACACCTTAACGTCCTAAGTCTTAAAAACGACTCAAAATGATTAGTTCCCTATCTCCACCTACTTAACTCATGCTAGAATCTGGATATGTCTGCCAGCTGTAAACCACAGATGACTTGGGCAGAGGCAGCTTTTATGTATTCTGCACACTGAAAACAAAAAGGAGTTAAGGGTTGGTGCCTCCAACAGCTGAAATAAAAACAAATGGTATCATTAGACATTCAGTTGTGCTTTTGGAACCACTAGCATAAATATTCTACAGGAACTCTAAAAACTTTAAAGAGAATTTTAACTCCAAGGCTCTCTGGGCTGGAGAGATGGCCCAGTGGGTAAGAGCGATTGCTGTGGAAGCCAGAGGGTCCAATCCCAGCACTCATGTGAAAGCTGGGCATGATCACGTGAGCTTGTAACTTCAGCAGGAGGAGACAAAGACAGTCAGATCCTAGGAACTTGTTGACAAGCCATTCCAGCCAAAATAATAGGCTTTAACTGCAGTGAGAGGCTCTGTCCTAAAACACACGATGAAGATCGATAATGAAGACACCTAGTGCTCTCCTATGCATTCATGGACTAGGTGCATGCATGTTCATATGCGTGCATATGCACACGAGAGCGTGCGCACACATACACACACACACTGCACAGTTGTTTGAATATCATATCACAGTATATTAAAAGATCACTATCGCTGGGTAGTGGTAGTGCACACCTTTAATCCCACCACTCAGGGAGGCAGAGGCAGGTGGACCTCTGCGAGTTCAATGCCAGCCTGGTCTACAGAGTGAGTTCCAGGACAGCCAGAGCTACATAGAAAACCCTATCTCAAAAAACCAAAACCAATAAAAAAATCACCATAAAAGAATACCCAGTTCTAATACTCGTATTGTCATATCAACTGAGATAGAACAATAATACTTTTCTAAGCTAACCAAAAATGAATCTTGAATTGCCTAGCTTATTGTTAGCAATACACAGATTAGGTACAAGCCACATAATAATTAGTTCTAATAACAGTTAACATTTGTATAGCGCTTTGCCCTTTACAAAGCACAATTTAAATGTTATTGTATTTGTAACAGCTCAATAGTAATTAATCAAAGGGCAGGTCATTGATGGATAGCATGACCACAATTAGGGCTGTCAGGACTGCAATGGCAAAAAGATGACCACTAGGTGGCAGCAAAATGTTAGCGATAAGACTAGCCATGCCAGCCCAGGTGTTCCACTCAGCAGTTCATTCATTGAATCAAGGAAGCATGGTGAATTTGTTCTGGCAGAATTCTGTCACTTGAGGGAGCACACCCTGGATCATCTACTAACCACCTCAGTAATGCTTTCACTGTCTCACTGTGGAGGGGGGTTTGCCCTAAACCCTGGCAATTTCTTTAGACAGAGGAATACTTTATGCTATACGCCAGGCATTAAGGCCTGGGCCAAGTAATAGTGGGCAATATCTGCATGTCGATGACGATGATAATAATAATAATAATAATAATAATAATAATAATAATAATAATTCCATAGTGCCAGGTATCAAACTGTTTTCTTCCCACGGAACTGTGTTCTCTGCACTGTATTACACAAGACAAAGAAAAATAGTTTTTAATTCAGAGGCCCTAGGCCCATTTCTTAATTCTTCCACCTATAAAGCATGTGACTTTGAAAAAGCATCAGCTCAGAGACTTGGTTTCTTTAGACAGCAAACTGATGAGGAGTCCTGCCTGGATCTCTCTCGGTTGTGATTAGGATTAGTACCCGGGGTACAGATATGAAAATGCAGCTGCTCAACAAGTTCCAGAGAAATCTGAGACAAGAAAAGAACTCCGTCCTGGACTGACACCCAGGAAGCCCCAGAATGAGTAAATACTGAGCTCCACGAACGGTAGGAATACTGAAGTTTGGGTAGGAGAGGGGCAGGCTGTGTGGATGCCTGGACCTTTGACTGGGCTCTGATGGGCAAGCACCTTTCTACCCCATGAGAAGGTGTTCCACATGGTCCTGTTCTACGCTCCTCTGATGGACTGGTCTCCTGTCCAGACTCACTCTCAATACTGCCCTTCACTATGAAGATAAGAAAAAGGAAATGAGAATCTTATCTGTCATAAAAATAAAACTGGAGGTTAAATATACTTAGACATGACCCTTTAAGCACATAAACACCTGTTCCAGAGATTTGGTCAGCCCCAGTCTGCCTGGAGTAGTATGTGAGCTGTTCTCCACTGCTGCAGTTGGTTAAGACCTTGCAGTGCTGAACTGTAAGCTTTTCCTCAACATTCTAATATCCTGATCCATGGCTACGGTAAGTACCTTGGGAGAATGGGTAAAGGAAGAAAGGAAAGGTCGGGGGTTGGTTATTAAGACAAAAACAGCAATGCATATATTAGACTCAAAATCTCAATCTGTCATTTGATCCAAATAATAACCACATTCGCATCCTTCTCAGAAATCATTTTCTATACTCAGAAGACTCCAAAGGTGCCATCAAACCCCCTTCCTGTAGTCACACCACACACTAATGATGTCACAAGCTCCTGAAGGATCTCTTGATGAACTGTCAGGTTTCTATTTAGTTTTACCCTACCTATAGACAAAATCTCATTGCCTCCACCTACTACAGAGACTACCTTTACTTGTTATAATAATCCTCCAGGAGCTTCCCTTTATATGGCTACTTCGCTATTTTTTGTTACTCTGAGCCTAACAAGCTAGACAGTATAGATGCACAACAGAAAAGGATAAACCATTAGTGCTAATCTATTGTGTTTTCTAGAAACAGTGGACCCCAGAGGATTCAAATCCAAGATTCTAAAACAGAAATTGAAAAAGGTACAAGCTGTTGCTGACAACATTCCACAAAGCCTAATCAAATCATATTATTCACCCATACAAGTCATGGAAATTAGATTACAGATTAGATGTATAACAGTAAATTCAACAGTTTTTACATTCTGATTCTCTTATGATTACTTTCATGTTTGTTATCTTTCAATATTAGAATGAAACCATAAAATTTAAGATATTTAGTTTTCAAAAATAATACTTTTAAAAATACATGAGGTCCAAATGGGGGCTGGAGGAAAATCCATTCCTGTTAGACATACTGGGGACCCTTTGCATTTGATTCCTCAGCCCACAGTTTTACAGGGAAATTCAAACCACCAGAAGCTCTCTTTTCCCACTCATATTCAAATAATCTCAGCTAATCTTGAAAAAAAGGTTAAGTGAGGTATCCTGGTCACCAGATCCATGCCTCGTGTACAAGTACAAAACAAAACTGAAGTTTGGTAACAGGAGGATTAAGCTGCAAAATGGCACTCACTGTTCTGCATGTAAGTACAACATCCACCGATGACATGGTTTTAGAACAAAGAAGTTTTCAGTACAAGGTTCTTTCCAACTGTTACTCTATACTCTCTGCAAAGGAGTTCAAGATCAGATCCTGCAAACACTTGCTTCACCACAGCATTCAAGGCCTGCTGCAAGAAGCAAACCATCTCTCAGCATTGGTTATGAAAGGAATCAACATACTTGTATTCAAGACTGGGGTCAAAACAGCAGTTCTCCAGGGCATCCAGGGATTTCATCAGAAGAAGGTTCATCTGCTGACCAGACATGTCACTGGATAAGGAGACAGGGATAATGGATTATTACTAATCACGCAACTGTTCAAAGGACATGTCATATCTGGGAGTATGAGGCTCAGTGGTAGAGTGCTTGCCTAGTACACACAAGACTCTGGATTTGATCTCCAGTACCACAAAATAAACAGAATGCATTTTAGTCCAGAGAGATGGCTTAGCAGAGCCTGCAGATCTGACGGTCCCCGGCACCAACAGTATGGAAGGAGCCAAATGATCCCCACAAGTTGTCCTCTGATGTGCACAAAGCATGCATGTCCCCCACACATACACAAATAAATACACGTTAATAAAAAAGCCAAAATGTTACAAAGGAAATCTTATTCTGTCAATATCTACTGGAAACATCAGCATCTCTTTATATATAATAAGGTAGTAATAATATTGGTGACTCACATATGCTCATTTTGTAGACAGGGGAACTAAGAAAAATTATTCAGTAATTAGGTTTTTGAAGAGTGTAACCAATTACAAACAATAAACTTATTTTAATTTTTCTCTTTGTATTTAAATTTTAAATCACTGAGGAGCAAAATTTCAAATATTTCTAAGACTGTAAAAGTGATGCTTTTGTAGAAAATTTAATAAAACTATGAATACAGTTATCAATCACCCCGAATCTCTCTTAGGAGGGACACAGCTTGTGATTTCATGTCTCAGTTGTATGGGTTGCCAGTTAGCCTTATTCCTTTAATTACACAGTTTTTAAGAGGGAAATTCCCTAGCCCTACATTTTTCTGCTTCTGTATAACAATTGGTTTTTATCATTGTCTTGGTGAGAACTAAGACTGGATAGTAAAAGAAAACTTAGACAGGCACTCTCTGGCTCTTTCCTCAGGCAAAGCTGTGGGCTTCCTCACTCCCATTTTATTACTCAGGGTCCCTAGAGCTCAGCTCCTTCTCTCAGTCTTCAGATCATGCTGGATGGAACACAACCCAGGAATACCAAGCAGCCAGAGAGCACTTTAAATAACAGCTTTCAAACCAAGACTACAGCGATGCTTGCAAACATGGATTATACTGTGGCATGAGAGACGCATAGGCAGGCAGGCAGACAGACAGACACAAACAGACAGACACAGACACACACACACACACACACACACACACACACAGGGTGGGAGGCATTAAATGAATAAATTCCTTCAGAGTTATTCTTAGGAATAAAGTATAATTAAATATTTTCAATATATACTACTGAGATTATACGTATAACCTCTACAGCAGCAGTTCTCAATCTGTGGATCACAACCCCTTTGGGGTCACACACCTGATATCCTGCACATCAGATATTTATATTATGATTCATAACAGTAGCAAACTTACAGTTATGAAGTAGCACAAAATAATTTCATAGTAGGGGGTCACCACACCATGAGGAACTGTATTAAAGAGTCACAGCATTAGGAAGGTTGAGAACCACTGCTTTAGAGGTTATGATGGAGGCAAGAAGCTTGGTGTAATGTACCTTCCTGAATAAATCCTAGTTTGGGATTCAAAATCAGGAGAATCATAAGCCAGATTGACTGTGATGAGTCTCTCTCTTCCAGGAGGGAGAATCTACTCTGAGAACAATGGAGTGTTGATGTCTGTTCTCCTATGGGTACTTGATATTACTACCCATTTCAAGCCAGTAGCTCTCATGATACTTAGCTTTATTTTAAATTATTTTAATTTTATTTTATTTGTGAATATTTTGCCTGCATATTTGTCTGTGTACCATGTGTATGCCTGGTGCCCAAGGAAGCCAGAAAAGGGCATCAGATACCCTGGGAATGAACTTAGAAATGTTTGTGAGCTGCCATGTCCATGTTGGCAATCAAACTCCAGCCCTCTGGGAAAGTAGCCAGTGCTCTTAAGCACTGAGTTATCTCTCCAGTCCCTATCTTAAATTGTATTTCTGAGATGCATTTTATTTTTAATTTGTGTCTGTGTATGGTGCCTGTACAGGGCACCACGTGCACAAGAGTACAGGATCCCTTACAAACGAGAGCCCCTGGAGCTAGAGTTTCAGTAGTTGTGAGCCACCAACAAGGTACTGGATACCAAACTTAGATCCTTTAGAAAAGCAGTAAGCACTCATAACCACTGAGCTATCTCTCCCGCCCCTAACCTTGGTGTTTTTTTTTTGGGGGGGGGGAGGTGGTAATCAGAAAAGGTAACATTGTAATTACTGAGTAAAATACCTAGGTAGAAAAAGGTAACTATTGCTGATTTCCTGCTCTAAAAGAAATGAGCAAGTAGGAAACAGGGATAATTACATGTTGGTGACTACACTATCAAGACACAGGGTCCCAGGAAAAGGATGCTATTTGACAAAGTTAAAATCTCCAGGTACTCAGTGCCAGGCATGGTGGCATACATCTTTAGTCCCACCACTCAGGAAGTAGGGGCAGGCAGATCTCTGATTATGAGGCCAGCCTGGTCTACATACCAAGTTCCAGGACAGGCAAGGCTGTATAGAGAGACCCTATCTTAAAAAACAAAACAATCAAACAATCTACTAGCATTCCGAGTGACTCAGCCATGGATGAGCTTCCTGGTGTCCTTTCCCAGGATTCTCTGCAGGTACAAATTCAAGAGAGACAGAGGAAGGCAACCTGAGAACGAGGGATACGAGTGCATGTGTGGGTCACCGTGGGGTTTTCCAGGCAGTGTGATTCAATTCACCCCCATGCAAACCTGACGGTAGGAAAGCCAGTGCAGCACCTCATCTCAAGTTAATGAAGAAATGAGCCACAGCCAGAATGGGGTGAAGTGGGTTACCTAGAACTGAATGGCCGGGACTCAGCTTTAGATGTAAAACCATGCTGCTTGAAAACATACTGAGAAAGGTCCCGAACACCAACAGTGAGGAGAGCAGTTTGTAGTGCAGCAAAGGGGAAAGGCACTTTGAAGTCTTAAGCCTTACAAAACACTTCCTGTCCCATCAGACACACAAGGAATGGAAAGTTGATTCCCACGCAAAGGGCAGGTTCTTTGTTCATATCTAGAGCTGGGCCTCTATGAGTATTCTGGGCATGTTTCATTTTCATTTGCAGATATTATGACAGTCACTCCATTCATCTGTCAGATGTTTCCAGAAGCGAAAGATGCCCCCTTGAAATATCCATTCCCAAGAGCAATAGTAATCCACCCCCCCCCCAAAAAAATCACAATAGCATTTGTTCAAGATACGTAAATGACAAACACAAACTAAACCTCTAGTTTCAAACACTATAGACACTGTGTAATGCTGTCTAGTTCATCCACACCAACACCAGTGTTTGCTTTTGGGCCACTAATTGTTACCAACCAGGAAGTATAAGGACATCTAACATCATAGCTAGATGTTTCTCCCTATATCCTACTTCCAGTACAGGAAGATGGGGCTGAAGTCTAAGTCACTTCCATTAAATATTCATGGTAACCAAATATTCATGTTAAACTACACTACAATCAACCTGGATGCATAAAAATTCTAAGGTTTAATGTAAAATACAGGGGAAAAAAAACAAGTAAAAACAAAACTAAAATAGATTAATTGATGTGTAGGAAAACTTGCCCGTTTAGTGGAATTTTCCACCTGGGTCTTTCATATCCCATTTGCTCTATTCACTGATAATGCTAGCAGCCTAAAAATGAGCAATCAGACTGAATAAAGCACCCAGTATAATATGCACAGATTAGGACTCTTTAAAGATTATTAAATGTAGCCAGGGCACAGGACAAAGGCAGCATTTTCAAGCTAAGTACATGCAGTTCTCAGGTGATTGAGTGATTCCCAACACCCCTCTGCTACATGGGGCTCCCCAGTTGTTTCTTCAATGAAAGGGGTAGGGGAGAAGGGTTCCTTTACCTACAGCACTCTAAGGCTTTTTTGTTCGTGCCTGTTAACTATAAAGATGTACTTATGGCTTCTATCTTAGCCTTAGGTGTTTTCAAGTAACCATTCACTTGAATAATAACCCTTAAAACACATTAATATCCATACAATGGTATTTTAGGCATCAAAATTCACCCATGTAAGAGGATAAACAATCAACTCAACCATCTCAGAAAGTTTAGCAAGCACATTCTGCTCAGGTGCAATGTTTAGGCCCCCGCATGCATACACCCCATCACCTAAATCACAAAGAGGAAACATAGCAATAATTCAGTCGACTGTACCTGAGTTTCTCTTCACACAAGCGAGAGAGAAACATCCCCAAAGCAAGGCCCATGTGGATTTGCACGGCTTGAGATTCATCAGCACTTGGTTTCCCAGGTAACCTGGCAGTCAGCATGCTCAGGATTTCCTCAACCTTCTCTTTGCAAGAGATAATGAAAACCGGCACAAGGAGAGACAAAGCCGTGGCGGCAGCCGAGCGCGCAATAGCGCTTGCCGTGTTCTCACCGGAATAGGACTTCTAGGACATGCCGAAGAAAGAAAACAGGGGTTAGCCTCTTGTTTAAAACACCGATCACATGAACACCAGAGCAATGCAAGCTTCTCCTACACCTGCCCTACAGACAACAACGACAACAAAAAAAGAATCTAAATGTGTTGGCTACAGACTCCGATTTCAGCCAATGAGCCAATCTACTGCCGAGTGAAATCAGTAATGTCTTTTTAAATTTCAAAGGCAGAATTCTAAGTGTCTACATTTAGAGGTTGTGAACCCTCTCACTATATAAACTCAAACAGTTTAAACGTTTTTAAAAGCCTGCATGCATACAATAGGAAAGCCAGAAGTAAGGCTGTCTGAACGTAGACATGCCACATTACAATTGTCCAGGAAGCTAGGACTTGCCCAGAACAGAAAGAAAGGGAGGTAGACAAGAGTGTGAGTTTACTACAGAGGGACAGGTGGAATTTTAGCACGAGGATCTATTGGCACATCCCCCATAATTTTTGGTGGGAATACAACCCCATAGATGGATTATTTCCTACAGGGGGTTAATTCCTTTTAATTAAGAGGGAAGTTGAAATTCTAAAAGCTTCTGGTTAAAAGCAATAACAAGGTATTGAAAGGGAAGTGGGAGGGCTCTACATGTGCCTTCTGACATGCAGTTATGGGAAGAAAAATGAGTAACAGTCCTAATAAAATGGCAGGGCAGCTGAACATGAACAGTATCTGCAAGAGTCCCACGTTAGAGCACTCCACCACACAGGCTATACGTTTATAAATGTGTCTCAAGTAGAGAGGAAAGCCTCTATCACCCCTCACTATTGTCTGTTTTAAACTTTCAGACGTGCCATAAAGGCGGCATTGTCCCTGGCAGTCAAAGCATGCTACACTGTGTTCAATTCTATGTCTATTTGCTCACCAAGCTCTAGTACTTCAAGGATGAAAATCAAGCATGTAGAATGTTATACTGGAAGCTAATATAATGTTTTCAAATGACCAAGTTACTCAAAAGGACTCAGCTACTAGGACACAGGAAATAAAGGAAGTGACTTTTGAAATGGGTCTTAAAAATGAATAATAATGTACGAAGAATTAAAAAAGGTAAAGCGGTAACTCTGAACTCACTAAATAGAGAGGCTGTCTAATAGGTTTATAAGAACTAAGCAGAATGACTAGCAATCTGACAGAAGATCTTGTCCTGTTGAGTGCCTGGCACAGCTGTTGTATAGGCTTCAACACAAGTCAAGCAAAGCGGCGCTAAGAAATGACGTCTCGGAACAAAACCTGACTTCCAACTTAATTCTACATTACCTAGCAAGTTATTTTTAAATCTAGCATTGGACCCAAAGGCCCAGATCAATACATACCAGTCCTCCCAAGGGCAGTGGATGAGGGAACAGAGTATTACAGAGATGACCATAGGCAATGGACTGTGAGCTAAATCCATAATCTTAGCCACGCTTCAAGATCTGTGCTACATTTTCCTTCAAACAACTGCAACCCTCAGCCACTCAGTGACTATCTTGTGATCTCTGTAATTCCCTAAGCAATGGACACCGATAGAACCAAACTGAACTAATTCTACACCATTGCAGAAGTAAAGTGATTCCGCAAGCCCAAGGGTGCACTCGACAACAGCAAGATGTGCATTTCACATCGCTTCAATCATTAGAATACCATCGTGAAGACAGGAGAGGAGGGTAGCAGACATTTTTCAAATGACAGGATTACTTGGTATTTACAAAGAATTTCACTGTTTTCAAAATACAACACTTTTACTTAAATAATTTCACCTTCCCCATCTTGGGTAAGGCAGAAAAGCTCAGCAACAGAATTTTACTTTTACTTCACAAGGAAAACAAGAATGGTAACGGTAAACTGCCACGTCCATAGTCACAAAGCTAAGGGGTGCCACAAAGGCTTCAGTCATTACAGAGGACACTGTTATTCTTACCACTTTATTAATAAGGACAGAAAAGACCAAATATAGTCAAAGAACCACTTATCCCCACAGCTATAGCCCTTGACCCTGACTATACATCAGAAAAAACTCAAGAGTTTTCATACTGCTGGTACCTGGGGCACACATAAATCATTATGATCAAACCATGGGGCCTACACACCAGTCTTTCTTCACACACACACACACACACACACACACACACACACACACACACACCCTCTAGCCTAAAGGTAGAGCTGGAAATTACTACACTATTTCATAGTTTCCTTGTGAACAATGGCTGTCAGGAGAGTTAACCCTTGGTGACTCTGGTCATTTCGATTTCTTGCACTTACATGATAAAAGCAGGAAAAGAGCTGTCCGCTGGGGCGGTAATGGCTATCCACAATGACCAGGAGGGTATTAAGCACCATGGAAACCCACTCTTTCACTGGAAGGAAATTAGGTTGAACCTGTAGATGAGGAACCACATAAAATGACAGCAGAAAAAAAACAGAACTAAACTTTATTTTGACATATAGAGTACAGCCATCTTTTTGTTAAATAATGAAATGCTATCATCAAAAAGTAAACTTCATCTGCTTGGGCTACATGAAGTGAACAGAGCTGGCAAATATATGTCCTGACCTGTTCCCCAATACGAATACAATTATATTGTATTCAAGACTGATCAGAAGTGGGGAGACAGAGGCTACAACAGAATATACTCAGTTTTCCTCAGTCAAGTGACTTATGATGAAAACAACACTGATAAGAAAGAAGTGCAGAAAAGAAATTTAAAACTTCCCAAATTTATGACTTAGTTCACAAAATAGCCAATTAACCTGCAACATTGTGACCGATGTCTCTATGGCTGCCCATCATGTATCATGGTCACATTCACCTAACTAACAAATTATTTAAAAAAAAAAAAAAAAAAACTCCATTCACTAAAGATAAAACTTGGTTATAAAAGTCACCCATGGCCATGGGGTCAGAAATATTCATCTGGAGATCTTTTGTTATTGGTCACACATGTTCAACTTTAATCAAATAATGAGATCTGGACATTGTATTGAGAAATGGCCAAAGGCAAGGTCAACAAAACTAAAAGCAAAGCCCCACTCTAACCCTGCATGGCTTCTCAGTTTGAAAAGACTGGAAGGAGGGGATAAAGAATATGAGACTCTAGAACTTCAACTCTGAGCTCTACCCCCAGGTACTATTGGACAAATTAACTTGACAACCGGTAGTTCACTACTGTAGGGGAAAAGGGCCAGTCAAAGAAACACACCCTGACCAGAGCCAAAGAAACACATGTTGGCCCTGAAAACCAGAGCCAAATCTGCCTCTGACCAACTAAACATGAAACCAACCAACCTCTGAGCAGAAAACAAACCAATCCCTGAACACGAAATCTAGCCAATCTGAGCGTGTCCAAGCTCAAGGGGATCAAAATCTGACCAATTCTCTCCCTGAACATCTTCTCTCTGGAAAAACTCTGACCCTAAGAAGCCCTATATAATCCTCACAGCCTGTTCAGTTGGCTGCTGCCTTTTTCCACCCTGGCAGAGGCAGCCATTCTCCTGGGTTCCTCCCTCCCAGTAAATCTCTTGAAGGAGGTCTGGGTGAGACCTTCTTTTGCTGGAGCAGAGATGGAGCCTGGGCTGAGTAGAGCAGAGCAGAGCAGGACTGTAACATGGAGCAGAGTCGTCATATTGGGGAAACCTTTCCCTGGAGCAGGGCTGTAAACTGTTGTGCTTACAGTGACTTTGTGGCATTCCTTGGCTCCCAATTGCCAGAATACTTTTCCATCTGAGCTGCAATGCTTACAACTATAATTAACCCCCAGAAAAGGGATACTAGAATATGCATGAACTTTTAGGGTTACAGATCTAGTTAGTATGTCACCTTTGATAAGGTATTCCATGGCCCTTTCAATGAAATGAAGCATTTCCTTATCTTTCTCATTATTGAAACAAAATTCTGGGTTCAAAGTTAAATATCTGAATGTTAATTAATTATACTTTTATCATTCATGTAATATCTCTTGGCTTCATTCCCTTCTCTCTATGTAATGTACATTTGTAGCTCTTGCCTCACAGTAATGATTCTCCTGTTCATTGGTGACAGTGTCACTGAATGTAATATAAGGTTATTTGTGTCTCCAACAACAAATTTGGCAAGACACTGAGTAATAGTGAAAGTATATAGATTTACTAAAAGTGAGAAGAGCAGATGAATTAGAACAGGCCTAAGTAAACATTTAACTCAAGAACCTCAAGTTCACTGAGGGCCTTTTGAGCTTAGGTAGAGGGAGGAGCAGCTCCCAAGGGCAGGGATAGAGTGGGTCCTAACCCGTTAATATAACTTTGGAAGATCTGCACTTAGTCAATTAAAGATAGTTTGTTCCTGACTCAGGAACCACTTCAAAGATAGATCTCCCTCCATGACCTTGGTTCAGTAGTGGTTTGAATGGACCATGCTTATCTTTCCTAAAATTGACTAAAATTACCCACAGGAGAGAGGAAGGTACTGGGTGGTACCCTACACAAAGGGGTAGACACATTTTTCCCATCAAAGGTAGCTAGCTGCCTTGGTTCACTGGGCTGTCCCTAAACTCACCTACTTCAATAACAACCTTTGGATAATTCTCTCTTCTCCATTCTTTGGAGATTAATTAAATGATCAGATGAAGCTGTGTTCAAAGCTTACCAATGGGATGGGCATAGGACCCTGAGAATCTAAATTGTAAATGGTGGATGCAAGGACAACAAATGACCCAAGCAGGGACAGTCTGCTGAGATATTTCAATAGCACTGTGTCAGAGGCTACCTTTTTCCTGGCCAAACCCAGCCTTAAGTTTCGTTCAATTTCAAAAGTTTCCAAATTCCATGCATTTTAGTTCTTCTTTTTTTAATGGATGGGAGTTAGTTTCTTTGCATCCAGAAAAGCATCATGAAAGGAGGATACAGAACTCTAGGTGCAGTGGTAGCAGCTATAATCCCAGAACTTGTGAACATGAGCAAGGATAGTGAGTTGGGGGTCAGCCTGGGCTACATAGTGAGACCCTATCTTAAAAATCCAAACAAACCAAATGAAGACAAAACAGAGTACAAACGGCTAACAGAACACTCCTCTAGGACAGACACAGTGATGTTAATAATGGCTCTAGTTATCAAGAGCTTAGCATTTACCTGCTGTCATGAGATTGTGTGTCTGTGTGTGTGTCCTCTCATTCATTTAACTTTTACAGTACTATTACCTGGGAAGCACTGTCATTTCAACTTATAGATTAGGAAGCAGGTTCTAAAAGTGCAGATTACTATACAAAGGTTTACAGCTAATAAGTCAAAGTAATGAAATTTAAATATAGGCCTCTGTTATTCCAAAGCCTGTGTTTTGTTTTGTTTTATTTTTATTTTTAACTACTTGGGCCACATCATATCTTGATAATGATAGCTAACAGATAATAGGACTATTTAAATAAGAACAAATCCACAGCTTTTTATTTTGACAGATATGAATTATCTGAAAAAGTACATTGGAAATGAATACTGGCCAGCCTGCCACATGTTTAATTAAGAAATAAATGCCTTGCAACAATGAATAGGCACTTTATCATTGACATCTACAATTAAAATGCAAAGTACAATTTTTTTCAATATGTAAACACAGCCAATTGATCATTTTTTGACAGCATTGTTCACTTTCTGTAAGCCTGGTTAACCCCCTAAGATTGGTTACCAGTGATGTAATCACAGAAAGACAGCCCTTGTTTCATAAAATTGGCACCTGCAAATGGAAGTGGCCACTTAACTACAGTGGGGAAAGGGGAACAGAAAAACACCAAGTGAGTCAGCAAGAAAGCAGGGCAAACAGTAAGGCTCATTAAGTAGCAGGATTTTGTGGTGATATATTGTGCACCCCAATAAAACTTACCTGGGGATCAGGGGACAAAGCCAGCCACTAAATTAGACATAGAGGTCAGGCAGTGGTGGCACACACCTTTAATCCTATCACCAGGGAAGCAGAGATCCATCTGGATCTCTCTGTGTGTTCAAGGCCACCCTGGACTACATGAGAGAAAGAGAACCAGGCAGTGTTGACACACGCCTTTAACCTCAGGAAGTAACATGGCAGGGGATAGAAAGGTATACAAGGTGTGAGGAAACAGGAACTTGCTCTCTTGAGGCTGAGGATTTCATAGAGGTAAGCTAGTGGCTGGCTGTTCTGCTTCTCTGATCTTTCAGCCTTCATCCCAATATCCGGCTCTGGGTTTTTTAATTATAAGACTTTTAAGATTCATGTTATAGGATGTGAAGATGCAGTCACAGAATTTAACCTTGTAAACCCGGGCCCAGGCCACCTTAGTCAGGGCTGAGGAGATGTAACCAAAAGCCCACATGCCCTAAATCCTCCCCAACTCACCTCCAAGACTCCATCAGAATCTGTGGAAAGGCTAGCTTCGTGCTTGGACACCACGACAGCAAGGCTGCTCAAGGCCAACAGTGCATTCCCTTTGACCACCGGACTCTCCCTGTGTTAAGAAAAGCCAAGAAAGGACTCAGAAGACCAGGAGAGAAGGTATTATCATGGGAGAGCAGACAAGGTGGCAGAGCCCTGCCGCTGCAGCACAAACCTGGTTAGAACCAGAATGAGAACGCAGGTCCGGGGGACTAGAGAGATGCTCACCGGTTAGACTGCTTGTTGTTCTTAAGAGGACCTGAGTTTAGTTCCCAGCATGGCAATTCACAACCATCAGTAACTCCAGTTCCAGGAATCTGACACTCTTCTAACTCCACGGGCTCCACGCATACACATGATACACACACATATGCAGACAAAACACTTCTAACTCCATGGCCCCTAGGCATACACATGACACACATACATATATACACAAACTCTTCTAAACTCCATTGGGCCCCAGACATACACATGATACACATACATATACAGACAAACTCTTCTGAACTCCATGGGCCCCAGACATACACACAATACACACACATATGCAGACAAAGCACTGATACACAGAAAATAAAAATAACCAACCAGGCTGGGCGGCGGTGGCACATACTTTTAATCCCAGCATTTGGGAGGCAGAGCCAGGCAGGTTTCTGTGAGTTTGAGGCCAGCCTGGTCTACAGAGCAGGATCCAGGACAGGCACCAAAGCTACACAGAGAAACCCTGTCTTGAAAAACAAAAAACAAAAAAACAAACAAACAAAAAAAAGAAGCCAGGTGTGCCAGTGCACACCTTTAATCCAAGCACTCAAAAGCAGAGGCAGGCAGATCTCTGTGAGTTCAAGGTCATCATGGTCTATATAGTGAGTTCCAGGACAGTCAGGGATACCTGGTGATCCCTGTCTTGAAAATAAATAAAACAAAATCAAATAAAAAGAAATATATCCTTTAAAACCTGTAGGTCTGTTTCCCCCCAGATACCAATAACTTGTGTGCTGACACTAGAGCTGATTTTTAACTCTCCTCGCCATGGCCATTTTGACCTTGTGCAACTTAGAAATGCAAGCTCTTATTTCTACGTTTTCTTCCTGCACATCTCATTTCATTCTCTGACACAGCATTTCCCAACCTATATTCTTCTATGTCATTTTTAGCCAATTTGAATTTATTGATTTATCCCCAAGATAGAATTAAACACCTAGCAAAGTGTAATGGCCTCTTCTGAAGCAGGAGTGTATGAAACCAGCTTCCCCTAAATCAGGTCACAAGTGTCCTTTACTCCCACCTAACATGTGGCAGCTTCTGGTCGTCATGACTCCCCTTCTCCCTTATCCCACTATATCAAAGCCAGAAGCCTTAGGGCCACTTTGTAATATGACTTAGTGATTCCAGATAAGTTGGGAGGTTGGTGGGGGTTGTTTTTAGACCACTTGGGTTGAGAGTTGTCCTGTTATATAATTCAAATGATAGCTTTCTAATATTAACAATAAAACTCCTATTTTTTACTTCATAACTTGGCATCATAAAAATTACCTAATTTTCATACATACTTAGCATGTAAAAATGTACACTTTGTATTATTTCATACCCCCAGGCTAATCCTATGGAAGAAAGCTCTGAATGATGAGCTGCTGCCTGCGAGAGAACCTCCCCATCTCAAGAATCTACTCTTGGGCATGTAATTGCAACCCCATGGTGTCCCACAGAGAATGTCTCCAGAGCCCTGGAATGGAACCTAAGCCTGAGTTGACTGCATGCATTTATTATATGCAGTACAGGCTTAAAGCAGACCCAGAGGATGAGAATGACCTTCACACCAGCTCTCCAAGCAAGCCTAGTATCTACCTCCAGATCAGTCTGCACACAGATGAACAAGTACTAAAAGGCTCCTAGGAACATGTGTTCTTGTATGTTTGCCTCTATTTTATAGGAATAAAGTCTTTTCATTTACCTAACCCTTTCTGCTTCTCTCTCTCCCACCCCGAGCAGAAGCACCTGCTCTACAGCTTGCTCATTCTGTCCAGCCCTCTTCAGTTCAGTCTTCTGGGAGGTCGGCCTTGAGTTAGTAAGGCATCAACATTCCTACTGAGGACTGGGATGAAAAACCTGGAAGAATTCCTAGGGGTCCAAACAAATGGCTCCCACTGAGGCTGTGGAAACATTAGTCCCTAAGGATGGACTGTGGAGGAGAAAGGGGAGGAGGAGGAGGAGGGAAGAAGAAGGAGCTGTTTAAAATTCTCAGTAATCTGAAAATGAAATCTTTAGTCTTCTCACCATACAGAAAACACACAGTTAAATGGCTACCCAAAATTGCATATCAAATCTCATTAAACAGGCATCTTACATAAAAAGTATCTTTATAACATTTAAGTTATAAAGGAATTTAGCCCATTTCTTTTGAAAGATTTGTTTTGATTTTTAAACTTGTGTGTATGTACGTATGTACATATGTATGTATGTACGTCCATTGTCCACAGGAGTGTTGATGTGTGTGTTGATGCCATCAAGCCATCAGAGACCAGAAGAGGAAATCAGATCCTCTGGGGCTGAAGTTACAGGAGTGAGCTGCCTGCCATGGGTGTTGAGATCCAGACCTGGGTCCTCTGCAATAGCAGTGTGTGTTCTTAACCACCATGCAATCTCTCTAGCTCTTGCCTGCTTTAAAACAGCACTGCAAATCATTTTATTTCACTGGTCTTGACACACCTGAGGATGCACTGTAGAAAAATGAAGGAAATATATTTAAGGCCACTGGTAAGTAGATCTTTGGATGTAACCTGAATTTTATCTAGACATTAATTTCCAGATAGAACATAATTGCTCAGTCTACGCAAAGCATCCATGGTTCAAGTTCATAGTTGGAGAAGAAAGACTCCAGTACAGGAGAGCTTGCTTATCTCAAACTTGTTACAGTACACACTGCATACTTAGCAAAACATTCAAGGAAGGGCTGGCTGGTGAAAAGTCTACAAGCAGAGCAGCACAAACTCACCCCTTGTTACTGGAATAACTATCCCCTACCAGTCAAACAGCTGTGACTAATTTGCATAATAACATGTCAGCATCAGTACAGTCTTTATCTAAGCAACACCACTGACATTTTAATTAAATTGTCCTTTGGAACAAACTGATGTCATTAACCTAATTAAAAAGCCCAAGGAAGGATGAGTTTCAGTGATGCTTTCTGAGGGACAAGGTATTGCATTACATATCGGCAAAGTGACCCAATCATTTGGGGATTTTTGTCTTTGAGTTCAAATCCATTTAATTAATAACAATGAAAACAAATTGCCATCAGTCATTTGTCTTACCCATGTTCTGGTTCTCCCTTAGTCATAACCCCGATTCTCGAAAATACTCTCTCAAATGAGCAAGTCAGTAACTCTGTGACTGGAAGTTACTTTCTGCATTCAACTCATGAGTGAACAAAACCATCCCCGGGCTCAGTCAGTCAAGGTGCCAGCTCAGCTGTCAGAGGGTAGGAGCAAGGTCTCTGCCTGGGTGAAGGAAGCCACTGGAAAGATGCAGAGAAGGTGGCAGCCGTTTTCTCCTCTTCTGTCACTGTCATTCAGCCTCTGGACCTTAAATAATATCCTAGTCCACGTTCTGCCACAGTGAGCCCTATCCCAATTGTTTTATTAAGATAAAATCTAAAAAAAAATTATACTGTGAAGTTTTTGATAAAAAGGTGGTACTCCTATAAGAATCTGAATTGTTTTATTGTGTACCCCTGAGAATGTGAACACACTGACCTTGGGTACTAGTAGCAATGTGTTGCTTCAAAAAAATCTATAGAGAAAAGTCATGTTGAAATAAGATTTAAGACCAGGGGTATAAAGCTGACTTCAGAGGCAAAGTTATAGTTTGTCTCAACACCAACCTGCTTATTTCTGCATCATCCAAGCTTTCTGCTCCAAACGCCCTGCTTCTAACAGGATGCGAGAACAACACCGCACGAGAACACAAACCGAGAAAGGAAAGGAGGCAAGGTCGCCACCCTCACCTGTGCGGCAGAGCACACGCATTCCTAAGGGAGCCTTTCTGCAGAGGTTCCCCAGGCCCACCCCAGCAGTGGGGAGACCACCAGTTCCCTTTTCCTTTATTCAGTGGGGGGGTGGGGGGCGAGGGAGTGAGTCATGAGCATGTGCTGAGATGGACTTTACAATTATGTGGCTGTTTGTTTCTGTTTTCCTAATGCCCGATCTGTTTAGCTACACAATGTCCCAGGATATGGCTAGGGTACATAACATTGCACTTAAATACTTCTATAGGACATGGGCTTCGGTGCACATAGAATCCAAGGGCAGGGGTGTGCCTGTGTCAGTTGGAGACTAAGAAGAAATGGAGGCAACATGACCCAGCAGCAGAACGTGATGGAGGAAGGGAGCTATGAACGCAACTGGCTTGTGTCTCTGCTGCCAGGAACAATTAGTCAGCTTGTTAGCGGAGAGGCCTGAAGAGATTGCTCCGGCAAGTAAGTTCATTAGGCTGTAATTTCCTTAGTGAGTTTTGGCTTAAGGTAAATAAAAAGCCTCACGGCAGTAACACTCAAGCAATTTTTGTTAAAACCATCACCAGGATAAAACTGACATCACCTTTTACTGAGTCTTTGTATTAGTGTTGTATATATAAAATTCATTTTTAAAGTCTGTCATCGAGCTGATGAGGTTTATCCAAGGCCAGACTAATTGCTAATTAGAATCCAATTTTTAGACACACTGGACCCCATAGCGACCAGGAAGTGTAAGAGGGGGGCCCACCTTTATTTGCTGCTTTGCAACTGAGATCTAATAATCTATTTGTAGACCCAATGTAACTCACATGCTCCAGAATTCAGTTCTCCTCCTGGAACTAAAGTATAATCCTTTAAATGTAAGCCAAACCACATGGCATTTTGTTAGGTGTTCAAGTTGAGTATCTCTCGATTAAAGAGCTATGTATTTGTACCAGTCCCTCTGTGTGTACAAAAAGGCACGTACTGAGAACTGATATAATTAACATGAGTAACAATGGTTTTCTATAAAAAAAAATTACTTTATAGTTCTCAATATTATGAAATGCCCCAGAAGGAGAAAGTATGTGTACCTGTCCAGGAGTGAAAAGTTTATTAGTATGTTGGGTAGGAGAATAAATGACTTACTTCGCAGCTGTCTTGGTGATCTCATCAGTCAGCATGTCTCTGACCCTGCAATAAAATTGGAAAACAGACACAGCTTATATGACACCAAGGACTGCACCCACTATCTTATTCATTAACTTATAAGAACCTCCAGAAGGCCAGTCACATGGCTCAGCAGGCAAAGGCACCTGAGGACCCATGTTTGATCACTGGGAACTACATGGTGCAAAGAAAGAGATCAAATTCCCACAATTTCCCCGACTTCCACTTGCACACAGTGGCCCATGCACACCTATATGCTCTGACACACAATAATGAATGTGAGAAATTATTTTAAAACTTCCAGCAATGCCTCTGGGTCTTAAGGGTGCAAGTGCAGAGCCAGCTCTGGAAAAGGACATTAACAAGGGCTTTACTTTCCTGTCTGTAGGATGCTAGCGGCTGCCGGCAAGGAGACAATGTAACCAAGGACAGACAAGCAGCGTTGTGTCCGAGCCATCCCGGGAGTGGCGGTGCATGGTGCCTTTCGTTTTACTCTTCTGTGGACTGGGTGTGGCCTTCTCCTAAACCTAGGCTGATAGTAACTGGAGGGAAAGCCTGCACTGAGAGGCTTAGTGCTCTCACAAGAACAGGCATGAGGAAGCTTGCTTCCTCTGTTTCTCCCACGTGAGGATACGCAGGATGGGAGGACTTACCAGATATACTGGTTCCCAGACTCCAGAGAAGGGGAAAAGTCTTCTGCTGTTGAAGCCACCCAGTCTACAGCACTGTTGTTATGGCAGCCCCAAATGATACCGTTCTCTCCTTTTGCATGAGAACTCACCAAAATATCAATTTACTGTATCCAAATTGTATATACAGAAATCACTGTATGTATATATAAAATACAACTTCAAATACCAAAGCCAAAAGATAATCATACCTATGGTCTGGAAGGTAGGTATGCTCAGTGTAAACATTTATAGACTACGACAGATTTTCCAACATAAAAGCTGTGAGGTACAGCAGAAAGCACTGTGTCAGATTTACATTTTTTAAATTCTTCGAAGGTTTATTTTTATTTTGAAGTGTGTGTGTGTGTGTGTGTGTGTGTGTGTGTGTGTGTGTGTGTGTGTGTGTGTGTCGCGCATCCACACCACATGTGTGTGGGTGCCCACAGAGGCCAGAAGATGGTATTGGGTCATCTGGAAGTGGAATCTCAAGAGATTGTGAGCCACCTTATGAGAATGAACTCGGGTCCTTCACAAGAGCAGAAAGTACTCTTAACCATGAAGCCATTTCTCCAGCCCCTCAAGGGTTTTTTTTTTATATATAAAACTTTATGTTCATAACTTTTTGCATCTGACATATAATCAACTCTTAGTGGCTCACCATTCCTGATAATAAGTCATCCGTAAGAACCAAGCTTTTCACATACTTGCGAACTGTTCTTATAGACCACAAGCATATTTTAAAAAGTAATTGAGTGCCCAATTGATCTACAGATGTCCACACTTTCTGTAATCCTTTAGTGTTCAGTGTGTGATAGGAACACATGAGGGCTGTCTGCTGACAGGCATGCATAGTCACACCAGAGCTCCTGCTAACCCCATTCTTTCCGCTGCATCACCGGTGTCGCCTTCTTGTACCACTGTCCTTAGCAAGTGAAGATGTCGTAATATCTACGCTCTTAGGAAAAGAAAAGGCCCTCCAAGTGCTGCTTACACTGCGACCATTCTCACACACTATGCCTGATTCAAGTTCATCTCCTTCTACTTTAGGTCCATCACTAGTCTGGATTTTATCCCACAATTCCACCCAAACAGTTCCCTTGATGGTCACAGAAGACTTTCAAGAGGCTAGACTGAATGATCAGTTCTCAATATCCATCTTCAGTATTTGACACAATGCTGGTCCCCTTCTTGGATCACTGTCTGTCCTTGCTTCTCTTCTATTACCGATTGCTAGTTTTCTGCCTAGTTAATGGTTCTCTCTGCATCATCTGCTCCATAAAATGCTGAAGTAGTCCAGGGCTCAATCCTCTGAAATTCTCTTTCTTTACAAATTTCCTAGATTTTATCCAGCATCATGATTTTAACTGTCATCAATATGCAAATGATTCCCAAAGTGATAGCTCTAATCTTCATGTCTCCTACTCGGTATCTCTAGTTCGGGACCTTATTGAGTATCTCATACCTTTCCGATCTAGACTCTGGTAAATCAGCTGTCTTGACTGCTATTTTCCTTGACTCAGTCAGCGGAAGCTCCACTCTCTCAATCAGTGTTTTACCCCTGACATCCTTCTTTCACATCTTCCACTTAAATCAATAAGTTAAACCTATGAAATTATAAACCTATGAGCCTGCCTGCCTTCAAAACAGATTCAAAATTGACTTTTCATTCTTCTCTTGCTAGTACCCCAGCCTAAGACTCTCCCATCTTTTGTCTGAATTATTGCAGCAGAATCCTAATCAATTTCTGCAGAAGCTGCCTTCACCATAACACTTAGAGCACTCCTTCCAAATCAGGAAGCAGATACCCAGTTTCAGATCCACCAATGGTACCTAGCCCTCTCACAGAGACTCTTGATCTCCAGAACTCTGTCACAGCTAGTTCCTTCCTTGTTCTCAACATGCCGCACTGGCTTCACTTTCTAGAGTGTTCCCTGGGATTCACTATCCCGTTGCAGGGTTTCCCTTGCCTACAGACTGGCTCATTCCATCACTTCAGGTCTCATCTCAAGGCCATATTATTAAAGAGGTACTCCAGAACTTTCCATGGAAGAGAGGAACCCCTCAGCTCCTCCTACTCACCCCAGCCCATTCACTTCCTACTACTTTTGCCCTAATCAAAATCTGTCCTATTCCATTTGTCTGTTTGTTTATTATCTGTTTCTATTCAGTGGTTTATAAGGCTAGGGAGAACAAGGAAATGCTGTTTTTCTATGCACAGAACAATGCCTGGCACACAGAAAATAATAAATACATTTGAAATAATAAAGAAATGTCTTATTTGGATTGGTACTGTGTTCAAATAAAGTTGCTGAAGAGTTCCTTTCAAAATAGCCTGTCAGTTACTTATCAGTTGTACAGCGAAGTCTCCTGATCTACACTATACTAATGAAACACTCAGGGTCATTTCTCCCTAATACTCACATCCATAAAGCTTGTGAGTTTCATCAGAGGCTTATGTCCATAGTTCTATATCTTTGAGAATGTAGTAAATAGAATATTCCTGTCAAATTATCACTTCTAGAAGACAAATCAAAACTAGATCTTAAAACAGCAAATAGGAGGGCTGGAGAGATGGTTCACAAGACCTGGGTTCAATTCCTAGCACCCACATGGCAGCTAACAGTCATTTATAACTCCAGGTCTAGGAGCTCTGATACCCTCGTCTGGCCTCTGTGGAAACGATGTGCGTGTGATGCACAGACAGACATGCAAGCAAAATCAAAATACCCATATATATAAAATAATAAAATTTAGAAAAAACTAACAGGAAGTGAAACCCAAATTCTTAATTCCTAATGCTAAATCCATTGCCTTAAAAATATCAACAAAATAAAACAGAACAGAATCAAATACCTAAATATTTTATTTTCTACAATCAAGTAACTTTTGTCCAATTTTGAATAAAGCAACCTGTGGATATAGACAAAGCTATTTAGGTTCCAGGCAATTCCTTTACATTTAGGTTGCTGCATCAATTAATATGACAAACTATTCTTCTCAAACTATGTAACAATTTATGTTGCTCTTAATGTGTTAGCATTTATATATGCCCAGGTAATGTAGCAGGAACACCCTAGGGAGCATCCGCTGGGGAAAGTGAAGGTCTGAGACAGAGAGACTGTCACAATCCTGAAGATGTTTTGAGGAACAGAGGAGAAGAGGAATAATTCTAGACTACATATGAGGCAGAGTGGCAATGAATTGAGTAGGGAAAACAGAATTTTATTCAAAAGCACTAAAACAATCAGTTATAAGAAACAGCGTTGAGGGGACCAAACCATTCCCACACTGCATTAGGGGAAAAAATATGTATAGACATATTCAGCTAGCCCTCTGTACCTGTAAGTTCCACGTCTATAGATATGGCCAAACATAGATAAAAATAGTTAGGCAACATTGTGTCTGGACTGCACTTGTATAGACGCTTGTCACTTTCCCTAAACAACACAGCACAAAGACAGTCACAGAATTTACACTGTATACATTCCCAAAGTAACCTAGAGGTGGTTTACATGTAGGAGAATGTGCATAGATGACATATCAATACTATGCTGTGTATATGAGACATGGGCTTCAGTAGGTTTTGCTCTCTGCAGAGGAAACTGATACCAATTTCTCACAGATCCTGATGAATGGGAATGCACACACACACACACACACACACACACACACACACGTACATGTGTATGTGTGTGTATACATAGTTCTGAAAACAGTGTTCCTTATCATATCTAGGGAGTAGGTGAAAATAACCTATCGGGTCTTCAGAGTTCCCTCTGGCTCATACAGAAGGGAATGCAGTCAGCATGGAAGCATTTAAGGCATGTGCTCTTCCCATCATTGCTCATGGCCCATGACAACAGTGTGCAGCAGAATGTCATCCCCTTACCAGAGCCATGCTGTGCTGCGCTTGTACTGCACCTCCTCGGGTCCTTCTTTGCCATGCTGCAATTGCAGCTCCAGCTCTGCTATCCTTCCCTGCAAATGACACAAGAGGAATCAGCATGCAGACCTGTTGGCTGAAAGTTCCTTTGGTCAACTGGCCACAAGTGGTCCTGGTGGCATATTAGACCTTGAAAGTAAGTGAAGCAGTCATATCACTGCTCGGTGACTTTCTGCCTTCACCAGAGGCAATTCAGTGCTTCATTTCAGAATGCCTTTCAAAGCAGATCTGATTCTCACAGTCCCATTTTAAAAGTCCCCTGCATGGCAATGGGCAGCAACTGATACTTTTAGTTACACAGAGATTGAGGTCTGAACACCACTGTCACAACAGGACAGGGGAAAATGAATTAGATGGGAGTGTAATACTTAAGATGTAGGTACTATGTAGAAGAAAGATATCACAACTGTTGCATTTCTACTTCTTGAATGAACTTATAAAAATATATGCCAGAGTTTTCCACCCTCTCTTCCTTGAAGGGTGTGTATATGTGTAAGAGACAGACAGATGCCCCAAGCCTTACATTTCTTTGTTGCTGCTGTTGTTTTTATTTTTTTCAAGACAGGGTTTCTCTGTGTAACAGTCCTGGCTGTCCTGGAACTTTCTTTTAGACCAGGCTAGCCTCGAACTCACAGAGATCCACCTGCCTTTGCCTCCCAAGTGCTGGGATTAAAGGTGTGAGCTACCACTACCTCAAGCCCTACATTTCTTATAAGCAAAAGGAACCATTGCATTTTTGATAGTACTATTTTTCCCAAGTGCTTTACACTTTTTCAACATGATCCTCTGTGCAGAACAATCTCCACCTTCAGGAGGTCATCTGTGCTGCTTGCAAAAGATCATCCAGCTGAGCTTGTTGAACACTGACATTCCTTCATAGGAGGAGATGGTGGGGAAGGTCATGGAACCCACACCTGAGCTTTCACGTACTCCTTCTAACCAGTTGTGTGCAATTCTGCCCTAATGGCATAGGATTTGGGGGTATCAGGGAGAGGCTAACAGATATAGGCTACAGAAGCTTAGGGAAAGGGGGCTTCATCTATGCAGCCAGAAAGAAACCATCATTCATGCTAAGGCAAGGTTTTCCAGGGAGGCTGCTTGGGATCACCCCCATTCCTGTCAAAAAGCCACACCCATGCTTTGTAAATAAGCCCAACGAACTCCTTTGTTTCCCAGGGGGATCTTATTGCAGTTGAACCTTGGTTTTTCACTGGAACTTTAGAAGCAGGGGGTGGCAGATGCTGTGTAGCCAGCCCCAGAGAGTAAATTCTTGAAACAGTAAATACACGTTGTTTTAAAATCAGTGATGAAGGGGAAATGCTCGCTCACACAGCACAGCCGTGTCCTTACCTGTAAAACAGCATGGTAAGCTCGAGTCATATAAGCAAGCCAGGCCTGTGGAAGAAAGAGTGCACGGTGCCATTCCGACGGCTGGATGTGGACCTGTGGGAAAGATGGGCAGAAGCACGTTAGACTACACAGAACTCAGGAGAAAACAAAAACACCAGCTCTATTTAAGTGGTTTCTTCTCTAAAACAAACCAAGTCAGTTCAGGATTGGAACCACAAATGATATCTTTTCAATATTCCCAGTTGAACAGAGTTTGGAATTTTCTAAAGACAAAATGAAGTAAGCCTAGGATTTTCTAAGTTAAAGCAAATGAAACCCTGCAATAATAACAAGTTAAGATGTATTTGTAATACAAATCCTCTGAAAACCAGGGGGCAAGGCTATAAAACCTCTTGCCAAAGAGCAGGGTACTGTCTAACAAACCCCCTAGTGACATTAAATAAAAAAAAATATTACTCATAGCCTGGATTTCAAATATGACCACTTCTGAAGTAATAAACATAAACTGCCAACAGAAACCACACTGTGTAGAGACCACAGTGAAAAGAGCATGCAGATCAGCACAGTACACATTGTGTGCACTGCCCGCCAGCCGGCTACTATACAAGAGAAAAACAACACATGCCAACAGTGAGATCTACTTCCGAGCAAAGCCCCGACAAAGCATCTGGCTCGCGTAGTCATTTCTGTTTCTACCTATTAGTACACAGCATTGCAGCACATCTTCCCAGAGTCCGTGCCTGTTCAAAATGCCCGAAGACAGACAGCTACAGTGCTGTTCACGCATCCCTAAACTCAACAAACACTTTCATCCATGTCCCTAAACTTTCAACCACCTCCCTATAGAAGATAGAGGGGAGTTTGTATATAATTATGACAGAATTACAGTAACTGCTGCTTCAGAACGGTTCCCAGTATTTTGAGAATATTTTCAAGTGTCTCTTGATAGGAGAGACAATATAGCTGAATACAGCTGGGTATGCTGCATTCTCATCCTAGTGAGAACCTACTATGCGCCGGGCGGCGGTGGCGCACGCCTTTAATCCCAGCACTCGGGAGGCAGAGAGGCAGGCGGATCTCTGTGAGTTTGAGGCTAGCCTGGTCTACAAAGTGAGTTCCAGGAAAGGCACAAAGCTACACAGAGAAACCCTGTCTCGAAAAAC